CAACGGCAACGATAGCATATGCTATAGGTTCTCGCGGCACGTATTGTATCATTTGCTATACTGTGCGCTCGCGTTCGCTTGGTAAACGGCCGGAGTGCTATAGTGTAGCGCGCCGAACGTTACATGTTAATAAAGTATGTAATCATGTTAATAAATGTGTTTAAGTATTTATAATAATATATAATATTATAGGTTAGGAAATGCTAGTAGTATAAGTTATTTTTAAAGAACGATTTTCTCAAACTTAGTATTATATATGCAATATATTATGTATGAATTTTTTTTCTCCTATATATAGAAACTATGCCGGCGTGTTGCGTGCACAATTGTACAAGTCGTACAGACTGTACATATAAAAAAAATATATAATTGTTCCGTTTCCCAAAAGAAGAAATAATACGCCAGCAATGGGTTGAGGCATGCAAAAGAAATGAAAAAGAAAATAAAAATTGAATCTGGTAAGTAATATCCCAGCAAACACAAAGTTACATGTAACGTACCCGTTAGTTGTAATTTCCCACTCAACAATATAACTGTAATATAACACGTGTGTGAATAATGTTACTTGTTCTTAATCTATTAATATTTTAGCAAGAATATGCAATCTTCATTTTGAAGAGAATTGTTTTGAATGGAAGTGGACAAAGCCACGATTAATAAATATACCAAGAAAACAGATATATAGGTTGATAAAAAATTTTATACCTATCTTTAATGTTAAACTTAGAGCAAAAACGAATAATTAGAAACGAAACGGATGCAATAGCAAGTAAAAGGATTAAATTAGCGTATGTGATACTTTCTATTTATAAGTAATGTATTATCTCATTTATTAAAATATTTTTCAAATATTTTAGAGGTATTTTTCAAAATATTTAATTCAATAAATACACTTGTCATTTTGCGTACATTTTTTTATAATAAAATTACAGCATTTGAAGTTTTCTATTGAATGCAGTCATTATAAAACAGTCATATTAATTAACTTTTGCAGAGAAAGGACAAGCAATGCAAAACAACAAAAAAATGAGATATCAGAGATATTTTTGAATCAAATATCGTAGAAGAAGAAGAGACAAGCGCATCGTATGCATAATTTATACGAGATATCCGAAAACTCGCCGGCATTATTTCTTGAAGTGATTTGGGACCTCAAAGAAGAGAAAAATGTTATATAACACAACATATAGATCCGGGAATGAATTACTCCTGAATTGTAGTCACTTTTATATTAAAAAATCGTTGTTTTTTTTAACTTTTCATAATCATAATCATTTATTCTATAGTTTTTAACACAAATAATTTTGTTTCGGACTATTTTAGCGTTA